TATTGATTTAGATTAAAGCTTGAATGTAGAATAGCCACTGGATACTGATGCAAGACGTCCTGTGGAGGGATAACGGACTGCAAGACGGAGGTCAATGTGTTGTCTTATGAAGGATGAGAAATCATTTTACACCGTCTTGCACTGATACTAATGGGAAAAACAGAACACATTGATAACATTTTAAAAAATACAAGACGTTCTAAATGGAAAGAAAGGACTGCAAGACGGTGATGAAGTTGACTAATTTTGACGGGGGTAAATCCATCAGGTACAAATGTGAATACTACTCCAAATTACAAATTACGCACAATAATTTTAGATATTTTTGCTTTTACCACGTAGAATAATTCTATTTTGCAAAATTCTCTTAATATGTATATTTGAATGACTCTACGGACATCAAAAAAAAAGGTTGAAAATTGTTCTTTTTCTGACAGCTTATAATCATTTTATTTATTTTTTGAGGTGGATATGTCATAACACCTAACGGATTGTAAGTAGGTATTAGGTAAATTTGAGAAATTTGATTTTAAAGCAGCAAAAAAATGATCTGCCTGGAATTGTAAACAGAAATTATAATTCCTGTATTCAGCAGACTCCCCTGTTGAGCTGCTATGTCAACTGTCCTTTTCCATCTGTATGATTTAGAAAAGAATGAACAGTGAACGGTTCAGTAAATAACTCAAAAGTTCAGTAAAAAAAGAAAACGGATTTATTAACTTTTTTCCCCGAAAAAACGTCTTGGACTGATGTATTACCATTTTTTAACATATATTCTTCCGGCGGACATAAGCATGAAGTGGTGTAAAATAAATTTTCACTCCCTCATGAGACAACGCATTGACATCCGTCTTGCAGCCCGTTATCCCTCCACAGGACGTCTTGTATCAGTATCCAGTAGCTATTCTACATTCAAGCTTTAATCTAAATCAACAATGGAGTGGTGTAAAATGATTTTCCACCCCTCTCACAAATTGACAATTTCCATCTTCTATTGCAACCCTAAAACCCCCATAAAAACGTCTTGCATGTGGTAATTCAATTTTGTTTGTGTACAAACTGACTCAATAAAGAAATGCAAGACGGTGTATAATTATATATTTTCCTAATTTATGACGACATTTTCTGAAACATTTTTTTCAGCGAAATCCCCCACTCCCATCTATTTCCCTGCACAAGTGCGTTTCAGTACCATTTTATCTAACTGATGATAACAATGCAAGACGGTGTAAAATGATTTGATGAAATAGGCCTCGTATCCCGTACTATAAGTACCAAATATGGATTACTTATAGAACCGTTCAGGAACTACAGCAACATCCTGAACAAGTGGAAGAAGCAATTTTGGGACATTACTGCACTTGCAAATCTGGTGCAAGGGCATTGGGTTGTTGTAGCCATATCGCAAGCTGGTTATGGTATTTGGGTTATGCGCGACATCAACCCAATGTGCACTATCCCCCAACAATCCTACTAGAAACGGTTATGGATGTTGGAAATCGACATCAGCCATAGTAATAAGTCAGCTCCATTTTTCTATTTTCATATAAACAAAAATTGTACTACCAATGAAATAGTGTTTTTTTGCTAGTCCAAAGCATTCTCCTGGAAGACCCAAAGCAACAGTGTTTTGATTCCATTTATCACCGCATTTTTCACCTGTAGGTAATTAATTTTTTGATGTCATTGTCTATAAGATTTACCTATATTTGTGAGAGTACAGAAGGGCGTTTATTTCAAAAACTGTTCATTATTGGGCTTTGGCGCAATGATAACTTTTATTCAGGATATCGAGCTTGACACACTATCAAAAAATCAGACGATTTGACGTAAGTTTTGTGCGGGGTCCTTTATGAGCAATTGTTTTGTATTGTCAACTGATCTATAAATAAAAACCATCCTGTATATCAAAAACCCATTAAATAAAACTAGAACACGGTTTATCAACAATCAGCAGTTTAAGCAAGTCAACGCGTAAAATAATGTTTACACGAAATGGATATAAAAACCAAAAAACCAATGCAACACATGGTATCGGCATCTATTCGGGTCTTTCTTTTCTCAGGGTCTCTTTACCCAAGGAAGTAGCATTAATCCCTTTTGTTTCGCATCTCTCTCCTCAGAGTCTCCTTACCCAAGGGAGCAGTAGCTACACGTGTCTTCAGAGTCGCCTTACCCCAGAGAGTCTTCTTCTTTGGTGTTTAATCCTGCGTTAGTGCGACAGCACTCGTACGCAATTTTGGGTGACTCTACTCACTACTGCCATGTGTTGTGTTTTAAGTCAATTTTTGTTCAGGGTAAGGGAGGAGAGTGGAGAACGAATAAGAAGGATGGGAAAGGAGGGAAGGGGATTTCATTCACTAGAAGAGAAGTGGAGCTTTTAGATTTAGAAAATAGTCCTGTCAGGGTTAATAGTATAGTTATCGTCAAATAAAGAATTAATTATGTCATTTTATAACGTACTTATTTGGCAATTGCCTAATTATACTGCATACGGCTAGTCAGCATCAGTTCGGAGGCCATGGGTCTATGGGTTCCTTGTATACATCTTACCTTTGGGCGCCACCAATTTAATTGTGACTTAACTAGGAAGATAACTTAATGATGTTATAAACAAAACCTGTGCAATTGGAGAGCTTATCAATAAAACAACTAATTAGGTACAATAATGTATCTGGTTTCTTTATTAAAAAATAATAACAATAATGAATAGGGATAGCCAGGACGTTGTTAAAAATATGTATACATTATGGCTTGTACCAATTTATAAATATTTGATTAAATAAAAAAAGTATGTAAATAATAAATATAAGAATTTAAAATAAACAGTTTTAACTGTTTATTAACACTTGAGAAGGATTAAAAGAACAGTAGGGGTTACACATTACCAACAGGCAAATTAAACACAGAAAGGTGAAAGTTATTCTTTGGGCAATTTCAGTCCTTTTCAGTCTCAAGTCTCAAGATCGAAAGGGTCGGCCTCGGCCCTAATTGTTTTTGGGGCGAGACTTTTTGGAATTTTGTGCCAGGGAGCTCAAGTTTTAGACTAATTTCTTGTTGATAATTGTCTAGAGTCGTCCCTTGGTCATTTTGGATTCTGTTTCGGACTGTTCCGAGCAGCATTTGGAAGTTTAAGACTTCACCTTTGGTCTAGAGTATCTCTTAGTTTGAGGGTCTTAGGCTATAGTTGGACAATCCTAGTGCTAGGCTGTAGCTAGACAGTCTTAGGCTATAGTTGTACAGTTGCTAGGCTGTATTTAGAGAGATTCTAGACTGGATCTAGATTGCTCTCAGTTGGGGCTTTGGTAGCCATTCTTCAGCAACTCTCTTGGTACCACTCTGACAGAACCATGTGGAGTTCTACGTTAAATGGATACAACGTACATGTAAGTTGCACTTTCACTATTTAGGCAAATCTATATATATAAAAATCAAAGTTCACGGGGTATCCGGATATGCGCTCTAAAACCACTTATCCGATTACGATGAAACTTTGGTAGGTTATTATGGCCATCCCTAGGAAGGTTTGTGGATAGCTTACGCATCTCGGAAAAAGAAATTAATTTTGAATTAATTATTAATTTAATTGTAAACAAACTCATTTACATTACATAACAACATAACCCAACTTTTTTTGACAGCATGAAATAACGTTGACATATTTCATTTGTTTAGGCTTGCATTCAACCGACGTAACTTTATTATTTTTTGAATTCAAGAACGGCTGGACCGATCTTGAATTAATACCACGTATCTCTATATAAGGTAAATTCGATTGACCCAGATTAGATCGATTTGGGTTCAATTTAAGTGAACTTCTTCTGATCTAGATAATTTTTTTGTTGATGAGGGTGCACTAATCCAGCTTGAATCGAACACAGTGGTTCATTTAAATTGAACCAGATCGATCTAATCCGGTCAATCGAACCGGCTATAGAGGAGAGTGATATAGGCTATTTTTTATCCCGAAAAAAAAAGTTCGGTTGCGTAAAACTCTGATACACTGGAACGCCTATAAACAGCCCGGGGCGCCCTAGAGCAGCTCTGGAGTGCTTGAAATGCGTCACTGAACTCACTGGCAAGCGACTCTGATATCGGATTAAAAAAAAAAATTAAATAGAAAATCAACAACAAAATTTGAAAAGAAGTGTATTATTTCAAAATGTATTTACACGCTGGCAACGCAGCGGGTCATTAGCTAGTCATATATAAATCATCTGACACCGAATTACGTCAGTACGTGCCCCTTAAATAAAATTCTAGAATTTTACCCTGAGGTTGCCCAAAGAATAACTTTCACCTTTCTGTGTTTAATTTGCCTGTTGGTAATGTGTAACCCCTTACTGTTCTTTTAATCCTTCTCAAGTGTTAACCCAACAAACACAAGTACGTCTTTAGTACGTACATAGTACGTACTTTTTCGGACGAAAGTACGTCCGCGGACGTACTTTTAAGGTCCCGCCGACGTCCGAGGGACGTCTTTAGGACAGTCGTTTTCCACAAAATAGTATGTCCCTCGTACGTACATTTAGGGACGTACTCAGTACGTACGTGTTTGGGACGTACATAAACTTACGTATTTGGGACGTACATAAACGTACGTACGAGAGACGTACATGAATGTATGTGTTTAGGACGTACATAAACGTACGTTTCTGGGACGTACATTAACGCTTTTCAGGAATGTGTTTGGGACGTACAGGGTTTTCCCATATATTTTTGAACCCCATCAGAACTGGTCGATTGAATATAGGTATGAAAAAATGTAAATACAAATATTGTATTTACACCTTTTTGATATCTTTTCAATTACCTGTTCAGATGGGGTGCAAAAACATAGGGGGAAAATCCTATACATACATATTCATGTGTAAAGTTTATAGTAAAAATAAAACCATATATATTGTATTTTGAAGTGACAATTTTTATACTTGATAAATACCTTAACACTAAAAAACTGTCAAAAATTAAAATAAGAACAAATATAACATACCCATCACCCTTAAACTTAAATTACATGGAAACATGTTAATAATATTACAAAAATACTATAAAACTAAATATAACAAACCCACCACCCTTAAACTTAAACAACAGTACTAATGCGATAAAAAAAAGTAGTACAAAAATGAATAATCCCAATTTGAGCTTCCGGTGTAATATACAAAATGTTGACAGTATATAAACATTTCAAAATATGTTGAGTTTAGGAAAGACATATTCTACACTTAATTTTTTCCCAAGATAGATTTTGACATTGCAAACTTTGAAACATAAACAATCACGCTTGACCCTGATTGGTCGCAAAATGAGGTGTTTCTGCATATTGACATCAGTTTTACAAGAGCGACCAATAAGCGGCATTGTTTATGTTTGAAAGTTGACAATGCCAAAATCTATCTTGGGAAAAAATAAACTAGGTTGAAAAATGCCAAAGGAATGTCATCGGAAGCTTTCTAGGATAAAAACTTGTCGAACAATGCCTAAATTATGGCACCTTTGGTTATGAATTAAACCAAAAGATTTTGGAGTTTATTCTTGTACTACTTTTTTTTTTTATCGCAACTGTACGAAACAAAAAAAAAATTAAAGTGAAAGAAAAAATTACGAACTAAAATATGTACAGAAATAGGTATTCAAACATTACTGGTCCTTTTTGGCTCGTTCAGGCGCTCTTTTCAGCCAACCTTGAATGGCAACTTCTGTCTCCTTTTGGGTCACATTGGTCAGTGTTTCGCAAGCTTCTAGAAAAAAAAAAGCTTTGTTTATTCAAGATGTTGATGAACTTCACTTATTATTGTTCAATTTATTACTACTTATTACATTATTGTTGAATTGTGTCTTCTATCTTTTGAAGTTATATCTGTACTGTATTTGTTTTTTATTTGTTGATGGATATCAACGAAACTTAGTAAGGTTGATATTCTAACCCAAAGCCATTTTTATGATCTATGATAAGTTTACCTGACTCCCGATTTCACCGGAAATGACAGGAACTTTTGATTTTTAAACGGCACACCCTGTATATTTTTCATTTTTCAGATAGTTTTACGTCCCAATGCACCACTTTTAAATAGAGTTTTTCCCAAATTTTGTTTTTAAATGAAATTTTAATTTTTTAACTAGAGTACTCTATGATCATCCTGGACTGACTCTACACATACTTTACTCAATTTCAGAAAAATACAAATTCAATTTCATTGTTGTAAACTTTTTTGACAGAGGGCTTTCAAGGACTTCATTATTTCAGTATTTTTGCCCTAGCTCAAAAACTGGAATGGAAACTTATCACTTTCATAATATTTATACTAAATGCAGTATTTCAAAGCGAATCAAACAATATATAATACACTACGATATTTTTCTTAATTTTTGTTCAAACATTTTTGATTTATTATGCAGGTATATATTTTTTTTCTATTCAAAATTTAATTCGAAAATGAAATTTGGACCAAATTCGATTTAAAAGTGACACATCAAGAACGTAAAACGATCTGTAGAATCTGAAAAACAAAAAATATATAGGGTGTGTCATTTAAAAATCAAAAGTTTTAATAATTTCTGGTAAAACCGATAGTCAGGAAAACTTGTGGATGCATAAAAATAGCATTTTGTTAGAATATCAAGCCTACCAAGTTTTGTTGATATTAATGGGTAAATATACACAGGATGTTTGAGTTAGCTTGGGTTACTTCATTCAAAGTTTATCGTCACTACACATGAGATTAAGTTTCGAACAGTTAGGTATGAATTTGACCACATCGAAGTTTCAAATCAAGAGAATAGAAATTTTGGTTACAGAAAAACAATATTTAAAACATTTGAAGCAGAGTTAACTAAGTTTCTATAAATATTTGGTAAGAAATCGAACCCACAAATCAGAAAATTTGTTTTTTTAATGAGTTTGTTGATTGTATGAATACTCACTTATGACCAGCTTCGCAATCTCGGTATTGTAAAAAGACGTTTTATCCCGGCGTCCCAGCCAGCTATAATTTGTTGCCAAATTGTTCGTGATAAGAGCAGTAAGGGCTCGCTTAACAAATTCGTATGAATTTTTTCCTCCAAATTTGGCAATTTCGTCGACCTAAAATTGAATTCTTATGTATTTAATTATTTTAATTATATATTATCTATAATAATTTGCATTGAAATAATAAAGAATAATTTCTATTAAGGTAAGTAAATATGTTAACTGATGAAACAGAAACAACAACATAACTATATTATTGTTATTTAAAAATTAAACAATATTTTTTGCTCACCGCTTCATTGAAATTTTTTTCATCTTGCAAATAATTATTAAAAGTACCAAGGTCTTCTTCTGTGCTCAAAGGACATTTGAATTTTTGAAATACCGATGAATCTGGCAGTGGTTTAGTGGTTTTGAAATTTTCCGTAGTTGCCTTCAATATATCGGCTGTGACACTCCTCAGGAAAAACAGATGTCGCAGTATATCTCTATGTTCACTAGCTAAATTGAAAAAAAAAGTTCAATACATATTTTAAACTATCCTTATTTATGTGTGGCTATGTAAAATCACTCACCGTGTCTAGGGCAGCAGGTGCAGGGTTTTTCTTTCGAGCTGCCAGGAGTTGCAATTTCTGGGAAAAAAGATTTCAAATTTTCAAGATTATATTTTTAAAACTTCATTTAGATGACAAAAGTTTTTCAAATAATTAGAATATCTCACCAATTAGGCGACGTGAAGATGGAGTCACTGTCGGCGTTGCCAAGGGAGTCTGAGAAGGAGTTATTGAGGGAGTTATCGAGGGAGTTATTGACGGAGTTCCAGGCTGAGAGGATGTCTTTTTCGTGGACTGTGATGGAATCGTCAGGCGACGAGAAGATGAAGTTATTGTCGGAGTTGCTGAAGGAGTCACTGAAGGCGTCACTGATGGAGTTACTATTGGCGTTGCAGGATGAGAGGATGTGGTAGTCTCTCTACTCTCAATTTCCTCCTCCTCAATAACATCCGCTGGCACTAGTGAGAGCCTTCTTTTTTTAGCACTTATTGCCAAAGGTACGTCGCTGTCGGAGGAAAATTCTAAGAAATAAAAATTGCTATGATAATAATTAACTTTTTTGGATTTTTAAAAAAAATTACCATCTTTTCGCAAATTTGCAGCTGAATTTAATTTGGTCAGAGGGTCTAAAATAAGATAAAAATATTGATATTATATAATAATACAGGCTCAAATTACTTACATATAGTTGGATGTGGTGGCAGCTGACTTGGACCGGCATCGTCATCAGTACCGTTGCTATCCGAGCTGCTTTGTTTTTTTTTAAATATCTTCCTTTTTTTTTTTGGGACTCTTCCTCGTTTTCAGTCGTCGTTCCTAAGTCACTCGTGTCCTCAGCCAATTTGGCTTTGCGGCGAGCCTTTGCATATGATTCTAAATATAAGTTAAATAAATCGTTAAAAAACTATCTTATTTAAATTGACCTCCCACAATAGAAAACTACTAAGAAAAAAAAAACAAAAAAACAAAAAACACTAGAAAGCCATTACAGAAAAGAAGAAGGTATGTAAAATAATATAGTTATTATACCGTAGGTAGCATTCCTAAAGATATGCACTTTATACGTAGGCCAATGTGTATCTGGGGTCGCTTGGTTCTTAATGGCTGCGTTGATATTGTGAGGAGGAAATGGCGGCCAGGCACACTCCTCATTGTTGACCCATTTCGTAGGGACTGCGGCCACTGAGTTGTCTTCCGCAAATTTGACAATTGTCCATGTTGTCATTTTTGCTCTATTTTGAAATATGAAATTTCTTCACTTGTACAATTTTACAGAAATAAAATGTTCAATTAGGTATATAAAACCAGTGAAATTGAATATCTTTATAAAAAAAAAAAACAATTTGGAGAATGGTTTGGCCTAGTGATATTATGAGTGTTTATTCTGAAATGTTCAACAATTTTTTTTTAAATTTCCCACGAAAAAATTAAAAGCACAAATTGGTAATCAAGTGCAAAATTTTAATAATGCAATTAAAGCATTTAGCGTTACTATCAATAGAAATGTCAAGCTACAAAACTATCATTATAAATATAATATTTAAAAAAATAATAAAAAACAATCAGAAGTCAAAATT